CTTCGCCTTGCGCTCCTCAACCTCAGCCGGAGCCCGTTTTCCGCGATGCTTTCGGGCGTTGAGAAACTCTTGAACTTCTTCAGGAAGTGGGGCTGGTCCTTCAGCAGTGGCTTTTGGCAAACGCCGCGCAAAGCCCCCAATCTCAGCTCCCTTCTTGATGACTGACTGCTGCCACGCCATGAAAGCATGCTGGTCTCGCAAACTCCATTGCGTGTGTGCAGCCGGCTGGCCACGTCGACGATACTCACCTTTGACTGCCCGCTTGCATTCATCAGGCACCTTCCTGGACTGAACGCAATGCAGCAGCATGAACAACAAGCTATCAGCAATATTCAACAATAATCAACAGGGAGTTCAAATGAAAACTTGAACCTACTTACTTGATTGATACAGCCAAAGATTCTCAAAAGGAGGTGAGGTTGGCAACAGTCCCAAGTTGAACCCAATGGCCGCCATGATCAGCTCTTTGGGCTGCTTTCTCACGACCGATGAACCCAACCAAGTATCATCGCATTCGATCAACCACCCTTCCAGATGACAAACCTTAGACAAGTTGACACGCTTCAGTGAAAATTACAAATTTGATCCTGACATTTAATTCAAAGTTACTTCAGTTCAATTTACTGTCAGTTTGGGACCCAGCTTTGATAGAAGCAACCCCACAATACAGCAGTACAGTATAAAGAACTTAAGTAAGGTGAGAAGCAGCCAAATTGCTGATATCCTTTGCCGTGTACAACTCTGTCTTGACTCGGCGTGATTTTGAGGACAACTCACCTTCTTCTCCTGCTCTGCTGGTTCCCCGTTTGGGCGCGGGAGCTGCCGGAGTTTGAGTCGGACGAGATGCATTGCGACTCTTCTTGCGCAGCTCCTCATCCTCCTGCCCCAATCCAACCACGTACTTGTTGCCCCACCTGAAGCACACTGAAGATTTTTTATGCAGCAGGCTTGGTTTACAAATAAAAACTAATTAAACAACACAATCGAATCTAGGAAAGAAAGTAACAAACATATACATCATAGGATATTATGATTTCAATTTAATTTGATTCCATGGCACTTGATAGGGACGATCATCTGGTTGTCAGACTCATCATCAGAGTTTCCGACAGATCTAGGCGCAAAATGACGAGGTTCTTCATCAGATGATTGAGATTCACCCATCTCGCAGTTTCGCAACGCTGGCTTCCTCGACGCTCCCGCACGGCCCATCAGGAGGATGACGTGAGTAGCGTAGGAATTCCGAATTGCTGGCTGACTCGAGCTTCTAATGATACCCGGTTAAACGGTTACCCAGTCAATTTTGCGGGAGAGAAAACAGTTTGAAAAGTTGAATGGGCGAATCTTCTGAATCAATCATTTTTTTTTAGGACAGGAGATTGCACACTGCACTCAGACTCAAACATTGCATCCTCGTCCGTTTTCAACATGTGAGACCGTCTGTACGCTGAGGCAACGAAATGTGCCAATGGCGGCGTTGACGATGTCTGTCTGTCAGTGGCAGCTGCAAAGGAGGCGACCAAACCGCCTTTAGATGCATCATCATTAACTAAAGTTCTATTTTTGAAGAGTCATTTAGCCACCTTCCTGACAGTCAATTAAATTGCTGTATTTGGGTACTCAATCGACTCAATCCACTTAATTTAATTGACACGAAGGTTGAAACAGCAAAGGCCTAGCAACTGCATGATTGCCACATTGGGCAGGTGCATGGAGTTCCCAGCCAGGCTGGACGCACGCTTGGTGCAGCGCGCTGGCAGTGACGGTACCCCCATAGCTGATGCAGAGGAAGCATCAACAGGAAATCCTAAACACGCTAGCTTCTCCTTTGAAGTCAGCCACCTGTTCCTGGCAGGCAGCCAAAACTTTCCTTGGCCTGTGCGAAATGTTGGTACCCGTTTGGATACCACGGACCATGTGGCCCGGCAGGCATTGTCCCCTAAGTAAATGATCAAAGAGTCATCTTTGAAAGGGTCTTTCTTGTACCTCAACTTGTACTTGCTCACGAGGGCCTTGATGACCTTTTTCTCACGGGGAAGCAACAAAGACCGGAAGTCCATATCATGGATCATCTTCGCCTTAATTTGACAGATCAGGCTCCCATTGCGCTCGGCTTCAACTAGACACCCCAAATTGTTAACACGGTGTTTTGCCAGGAAAAAACAGTTGTTATATTACATAAAACCTGCGCGTTGAATGATTCCACTGAGTAGCCTTCAAAGCCTTCCGCCGCAGAGACGCCAACTCCTGGGCTTCCATGACTATGTCACTGGTGGAGGAGACAAGATAGTCGGCGGGTTCTGTGCGGATGTGCTTCATGATGGTCCTTGTGATCAGACGGTACATTGCGTAGGGGTCATGGGTGATCTCAACCTTCTTCCGATGGAGCAAAAAGACATAAATGCGGTCACGGGTTGTTCCAGTGTGACCAGAGTCTGATGCACTGACAAAGAACGGGTACATGTCATAGTGGCTGCCATAGAGATGCAATATCATCTGAAGCCGCAGGTTCTGAGGGATCTAATCAGATCATGAATCAATCGTCACTGTACTGGTTTGAATTAAACACAACTACTACAGTTACAACAATTGCACAGTTTTTGACCCAGACCAACCCGTCCTGTACGTTCTCAAGAAGAATCACGGGAGTTCCTAATTCGATATGACGCTTTGCGTGACTCATAAAGATTGTGCAGGTTGGTCCCTCTTCCTTCCTGCGCTTCCCAGCCAATGAGAAATCAACACAGGGTAGCCCTGCAGTTTCCCAGTCGCACTGAACATTGGGACCAAACAACTTGCAGAGTTTGTTGCGGGTGTAGCAATGCTGGCGGGAAACAAAATCAGAGGCAGTGACGTCACAGTACTTCTCCATGTAGCTGCTCTTTGGGTCATACGTGTGTTTTGGCAAACACCCTTCGACATCTCCAAAGACGCACGGGGGGTCCTATGACATTCCCAAGACCTCTCCGCACCAGCGTACATGGTCTTTGATGAGTTGGCGGCACGTAGCGTCCCACTCCTCAGTCAATTCTGTCAGTGTCATTCAAGCCACAATAATAAAATAGATAGATAGTAACACTACCGTAACTTCAGCGGGGTGGGCTCAGTCTGACTAGACAGTAGGCCAAGAATCATGGCACGTTTTGTTCTTGAAAAAGATGGGGTACTCCAGCGCACGTGAATCATTGACGGTTTTCTCGATAAGTGCAAAAGCAATCTCTGCTGTGTACCCACCAGAGCAGGACGAAGAGACTTTGGTGGTCTTCGTCAGCAACGATGCCTACGGAACAGGGGTCGTGCGGAAAAGTTGCAGCCCACTGGTCAAGATTTTTATAAATATCAATAACAATATTTATGTTAATTATTCCAAAAGTTTGTATTATATAAGTTTCTATTCTATTGATACAAATAATAAGAGTTTGTTGTTTTGCTGTACTTACTGTTCCCACGCTTCTAGCATTCTACCCGGGCATACTTGTTTGTACTTTTTAGGTCGGTAAACAACACGTTCAGACGACAAACTGCAACCTTCTGATCAGGCAGTTCGATGCCTGGCCACAGCGCGCGAAGTTCCTTCGTCACCTCTTCCATTTTTGTTGTCCTCAAATTTCCACTGCTGAAAAAAAACAAGGACCTTCGGGCGAGTTCCTGGTGGGCGAACAGACTAGGCTGAAGAAGGAGTGTTAAATCGAATTCAAAAGTTCCTCACACACGCACACACCAATCCATACAAAAAAACAAATGAAGCACACCCAAATCGAACTTAGGTTCAGAAGTGTACTGCTGCATTTTCTTCTTCAACTTAGTACGATAGATGAGCGAAAGAAAATCAAGCAACAACCAATGGTTCTGGACATCAGGCGCTCGCAAAATGTAGACACCCAAGAACGTCCCATTCGGCAGCCGCAGCCAATCTCAGCAAAAGGCAGGCAGTGTCCAATTTTGACATTCTGTCCAGACTACAGGTAATAGCAGCGCTCCAATGTTACGTTGCTGTTTGATTGTCTCAGTGTGAATGTCAATTCAATGAAAAACAAACCTGACCGAGCAGCTCTTGGAAAATCCAGCTTCAGCTTGACCACCGGACATCATATCATCTCCATTGCGGACAGGGTTGGCTATAATTCGTTGACAGTCTGAGTCTGACAGACTGACAGCACTTGACTTGTGAAGAAATATAATAGCATTTCATTTATAGATTAGTTGATAATTTGAGTCTGAGTGTTTGCACGTTGTAAGCCGTGAAATTCAACAGAAGCACTGCAATATTCACTATCAATTGTTTTGTCGGTCTGAACCCTTCCAATGTCACTGACTGAGAGAAGTCGTCGTCCCAACGATAAGCTGAGCAGCACAACTCAAAAGTTGTCCCCTTTTCATTATTAGACGCCGTACTAGATTTCACCAGTAGAATCATCATTTCACCCTCCACAAATAAAGCCTAAAGCCATCTTCAGGTGACACCGGCTAATCACTATTAGTGATTATCAATTATTGCCTTCTACATCCAAATCACACATGGGGAGGGGGGGGGTTCTTGACAGGGGGGCTCTTTGATACCTATGACAGTAGTAAGGCCAGGAGCCCCTACTAGCGTCCTTGCTCCTAGTAGTAGGGCCAGGAGCCCCTAGTAAAGTAGCATCCTTGCTCCTATATGTAAATGGTGCATATATAGATGGCTTCATGATTCATGCACTGCGGGGGTGGCTCTAAGCAACACGTGTAGGGCGAAGGAAGTCCAAAGCGTGTGCTTCACAAAGCTCGAAGGTCATCAATTTGGGAGTCCATTGGACCTGTCTTATGGGCTCTAGAGTGGTGCCCTTAGACAACATGTTTTGTAATGGTTTGTATTTGTATGTTTTTTCAACCATGGCCATGGACCGCTTGTGTACGATCGCTTCGGGGCATCTTGGGTCATCATTACAAGGAGCCCATTGCCTCATGAAATTGCAGCGAGCACATTCTGTAACATTCCCTTCCTCCTCACCACCCACATGGTCCAGCCAAAGCACATTTGCCTTCAATGAGGAAAAAATCCCACAATCTACACACGCTTTCCTTGGCACAAGAGTCACGGAAAGCCAACGGCCTTTAAGGCCGTGCATGCACAAATCAATGTGCCAGCACTCTCTGGACACTTGCTCTCTCTCCCTCTATCATCTCTATCTCTCTCTCTCTCTCTCCTCAGCAGTAATTACAACACATACAGCTACAAGTTACAAAAAAAATAAGTTACTATATATATATATATATATGTATGTGATGGTAATGAATTCGTCTCAGGAGGTGCCGCACCATCCAACTTATCGTGACAGTAAGCCTACAGATCCTTTCACACCCCACACCTCCGAGTTCCAAGCGTCGATGGTCCTGAGCTCCCGGGAGAAAAGCGTCAGCAAAGGCTCCGCGGCAATCCACAGAAGTGGCAAGTCCACCTCGAGAGCTGTTCGAAGTTCACTCCACTTGCATCCTACCATTCCATCCTACCAGTAGAGTAGAACCAGCAATGCATCTACACACATTACAGAGTGGCCAAATGCAGTTCAAAAATGCTCTTTGATCAGAGGTTGACTCATGACAGTGAAGTGCGTAGGCTGGCTACTTCCTAGTTTGGCAGCCGCACGCCCTGTCAACATCTGTGGACACCAACAAGCCAAAAGGACCGCGCCTCTGCGAAGCGCGCATGGATCTTCGGGAGGAGCAGCAACCTCAAGCACGACTCGCGGCTCTGGAGCAATGCTGCCATCTGATTGATCTGTTGTATGACTGCTCGGACTGTTGCCGCTATCGAAAAATTGTGCTCCTCAGATACACCTCACAAAGCTTGTCATTTCACCGCATGCACCAAAAAGCACCTGCCACTCCTGCGAGGAGCCGGAAACACAGGGGAAGCGCTTCACATTCCCACATCTCGAACTCAGATTCGCACACACACACACAAGACCCTTTAGACCTCTAGCTCACATTCGCACACCTCCAAAGACGGACGCTCCAAATCGTGGCCAGCAACAGGAGAGCATCTAGCACGGCGATGTCTCGCAAAAGCCCCCGCATCGACTCCTCATAGTATCCTGATACTGCGGAGGACAATTTCTGCCCCCACTTGCCAAGGAGAAATTGCCCACAGTGAATGCTTTGATTCAAGCTGTTGACTGGGACACCCGACCTTCACAGAAGTTTTCCTCAGGTGTGCAATTGCAAGAGCGGATTGAAGAGATTGTGCATCGACCGAAGCGGAAAGCAAGTAACCAGGTGCGGCATACTCTTGCTATACTGTGCAGTCATACTCTTACTATACTCCACCAAAAGCCGGGGAAAAGACGTGGGTTCATGGGAGTTGCTTCCAGGGTCGGTCAAACGGCAGAGGCCACAAAGAGCTTGCTTCTCTGTCAGACCCACCAGCAGCTGCACCGCTACAATGAAGTTGAGGCCTCGACTGGGAGGCCTTTAGCCCAGCACAACAGAGACTCATCTGAAACCCACTTCGAACACTTGAATGCATCAGCACTTACTGCAATTTGTGCATCTTGATGTTCCACAGTCACAGTGCACTTTCTCTCAGAAACCCATTCAAAAAAAAGGGCTGACTGGCAGCCTTCTAGCAGCTCGCGTTTGTTTTGTCAATATTGCGTTGGCAACCATTTGGCATGACATGCCTTCATTGGCGCAACATCGTGTTTTAGAATATTTTTCGCCATGTCACCCTGGCAGTAGCCCACCTGCGAGCCACGGCAACCCAATAGTGCGCTTGATTGACTGCACAAGGAGAGAACACAATAGCAAGCTCTTTGTTAGGTTGGAAGCCATCGCTACTAGGTTTGGGGCCATCGCTACTAGGTTCGAGGCCATCGCTATTAGGTTGGAGGCTGAGGCCATCGTTGTTAGGTTGGAGGCCATCTCTAGTAGCTTGGAGGCAGTCCGGACATGTCTGGGTACACTGTGCATCACTGTGCATAGCTCAGCCTTGGGGCGGAGCACAGAGTAGGCCAACAGGACACGCCCCAGTGCAGCTCGCTGCTTCTCGTCAAAATCGCCCGGCCTGGTCCTGTGGCCAAACAGCTTTAGGATGCTTTAGGAATGTTTGCAAAAAGGGAAGCAAACTCCGTGATTCTGCAAGGTCACGCTTGATGGGAGTGGACCGTAGGAGCGCCATGGACTAGCTGCCACAATCCCATGTGATCATTGCATTATCATCCGAGCACAAACTGTGAGCCGAGTCCTCGGCACATCCTTTTCAATTTGCCTTCGGCAACATTCCCGGGCACCGTAGCGGCCTTGGTCAGGGGTGGTACAGTAAGATAAATGTGATGGGGCCCCGTCTGCAACACTCTGCACCCTACGGTGAGCAAGCTGCCCCTGCCTTCATCCAGAGGCTGGCTGTCCTCATCCTGTGCACCCAGCCAAGCAGCCCAGAGCACCAGCCTCGCATACTAGCACTGACAACGCGTTGGAACAAAATAGTGCAAAATATGTACAAACATGTATATAAAAAACCTATGAAAGCCCTAGAAGAATTACACACATCAACCACAAGGTGGCCGCCAGGAGATTGGACCCCAATCCAAATGACAAATGCAGAAAAGGACAGTAGTCGTTCCAGCACTTCTGTAAGTGTGCTGGGGAGAATTATGCTGCATCGTCTCAATTCTCCAATTGTAGCTACAGCCCGGTAGGTGCCTGTATTGCCACGGGATGCGGTCGCCCAGCACGAAAAGGCCTCGCACCTCTTGGCGAGTCAACTCTGGGGCCTGTCGGCTTCCCAGGATCTTGCGCCTCAGTCAGGTGGTCAGTGAGTGGGACACACTCTTGCCGCAAGACTCTTGCGCCACACAGCCTACAGCCTGATGCCCCCCACAACCACCAGGGGGAGAAGAGTGTTAAGCAAGACTGCCCAAACGGAGAATGAAGTAGCAACCAAATATCAGTTGCGTGAAGTATGCCCTCCTGTCAGCTCCAATTGGCATCCCGTGGACGCGCGCAACTTCCGCCGAAGTGCCACTTCTCCGTGAGCTGAGCTTCCGCCTCGAGGCGATCCTCGTTGCCTCCCTGCAGTGGAGCGTCCCAGCCTGCGGCGGTTTTTTGACATGTTTGGTCTTGTTCGGTGGTTGTTGTTGTTGTTG